TGCACCCTGTCCTCTGGCGGCACAAGTTGCGGTGTACCATGTAAACATAGATGGTGATCATACATAGTGATAGGCCTGCAGTCATCAGTTAAATGTCATGAATGTGAGCCATTACAACTGAAAAACATACTGAATGATTAATCACAATGAGAGTCCTACTGCAAGGTGATGAGATACTGTAATTTCTTTTGAAACACAAGCAGCCTTCATTAACTATTGTCTATAGCATGTCCCCCAGAAATACAGCTGAATACAACACACCAGCAGAACACCTTCCAATAAAAACACATTGCCTTTTCATAGGAGACACTTTTTAAATAGCTGTGTTGGAGGTCCAGATATATATAATGAAGCTCTGTTGCAGCAGTGGAATTTTTTCAAAGAGGCTCCGCAAGAGCAATCTATTTTTTTCAAATGGCACTGCAGGCACAATGTATTATTTTTAAAAATGGCACCGCCGGAGCAATGTATTTTTTTAGATGACACCGCCGGAGCAATGTTTTTTTCTTATAAATGGCACCGCCGGAGCAATGTATTTTTTTTTTCAAAAATGGCACCGCCGGGGCAGTGTATTTTTCTTAACAATGGCACCGCCGGGGCAATGCAAATATTTTTAACAATGGCACCGCCGGGGCAATGTATTATTTTTTTAAATGGCACCGCCGGGGCAATGTATTCTTGTTTAAAATGGCACCACTGGAGCATAAATAGCACCGCATTTTTACAAATGGCACTGCCGGAGCAATATGTTATTTTTTAAAATGGCACCGCCGGGGAAATGTATTATTTTTTAAAATAGCACCGCCGGGGCAATGTATTCTTGTTTAAAATGCCACCACTGGAGCATAAATAGCACCGCATTTTTACAAATGGCACCGCCGGAGCAATGTATTATTTTTTTAAATGGCACCGCCGGAGCAGTATATTTTTCTCAAATGGCACTGCTGGAGCAATGCAATTTTTTAAACAAGGCTCTGCCTTTGAAATTGCTCTGGCAGAGTAGTCCTTGCATATTTTTTGAAATACAAAAATCTTGTTTAGGGCAAAGAACACTAGAATTAAATAGACAGTTGATACATATGATTACTAGTAAATGGGCGGTACTGCTGAGGTTTTCTTGTTTTCTTCTGTATATGTTTTCTATGGGGGGACTAAGTGGTGGATTGCAGAGGGTAGATTGCAGGTGGTAGATTGCAGCTGCAGGGGATAGATTGCAGAGGGTATATTGCAGGGGATAGATTGCGGAGGGTATATTGCAGGGGATAGATTGCGGAGGGTATATTGCGGGGGATAGATTGCGGAGGGCATATTGCGGGGGATAGATTGCGGAGGGCATATTGCGGGGGATAGATTGCGGAGGGTATATTGTGGGGGATAGATTGCGGAGGGCATATTGCGGGGGATAGATTGCGGAGGGTAGATTGTGACTGCGGTGGATAGACTACAGAGGGTAAACTCATCTGGATCCTTCATAGGGGTTTGGAAGCCAAGTATATAAACCTCTGTACATGCTCACAAGTGTGCACATTGACTCCACAAACATAGAAAAAAATTATAATGAAGTTTGACACATTTACGTTGCAAACATATTTAAGTACACAATACTTCTGCAAATATTGCCCTGCTGGTGGTGTCATTTTTTTATGATACGCCGCCGGACCAGCCACCGCAAATTGCCTCCGCTTTTATATTGAAAATTTATAATAGCCTGTTAGAATACTTTTGATATGTTTATACTGAGAACATATTTAAGTACACAATACCTCCGCAAACATTGCTTTGCTGGTGGTGTCATTTTTTTATGATACACCGCCGGACCAGCCACCGCACATTGACTCCGCAAAAATAGAAAAAGAATTATAATGAAGTTTGACACATTTACGTTGAAAACATATTCAAGTACACAATACCTCCGCAAATATTGCCCTGCCGGCGGTGTCATTTTTTTATTATACGCCACCGGACCAGGCACCGCAAATCACCTCCGCTTTTATATTGAAAATTTATAATAGCCTATTAGAATATTTTTGACATGTTTACACTGAAAACATATTTAAGTACACAATATGTCCGCAAATATTGCCCTGCCGGCGGTGTCATTTTTTTATTATACGCCGCCGGACCAGGCACCGCAAATCATCTCCGCTTTTATATTGAAAATTTATAATAGCCTGTTAGAATATATTGACACATTA